ATCCACTATACAGTATCATACTTTATAACTTTCTACAACTAGAATGGAACGTACTAATATACTAACCAACTTATCAAGATAATGTTACACTTTGGTAGACACTCACGTATTTTATACTTCTCTTACTTGCTAACGTACATTGATTTTTACTTAAAAGTAGTTACCTTTCTACTGACGTACTTTCATACTCAAGTAAAAAGAACAAGATGTTCCTGTGAGATGTACAGTACCAGTAGCTCAGTACATTGCTTAAGTACATGTAGCTGGTTATGGACTGAGCAGACTTGAAGAAGCCCACCGCATGTGACTGAAAGCTCCTTAGTGGAGGCTTCTTCTACCAGGAGGAATGTGGAGATGTCCAATTTAGGAGGTGACATAGGAGTCGCTGAGAAAGGCACCCAAACAAACGAGTGTTTCAAAATTAAACTAGCTTGATAGATTGTATTTCATCCTACACTAAAACCAGGTAATGATAATAACAATGGACAAAATAATAATACCAGCTATTACAAAATAGAAAATGTAGAATCTGAATATTATATAATTAAGAGTGTTTATATGACTCATATTTCTCCCTCTCAGAAATATATGTATATATAAACATACATACATACATGTGTGAGTCTATTTCCAGTCATCGCTCAGCTGCTTCAATCCTTTTTTCCAGCATCAGTTTCCATGGTAACAGGCTGTGCTATGTTGCGGAAACATCTGAACTCAACATCTCATTTATATATCTATATTTCCTCTTGTCTTGTTATCAAACCATCAGATCCATAGAATAATAACAAATAGTAAAATAAATATTATTAATAATACTACAACAATAATTCAGAATTTGTTAATAAAAAAGACAGTTAATATTAGGTAATACTATTTTTATTTATGATAATGATATTAAATTGTTCAGATCTAAAGTAGTTTTATATTTAATATAATACTAACTTATTATTAGAATTTAACTGAATTTAACTTAAACAAATGCTTTCATGTACATGTGTTAATAATGAACAATATTCATTGAAGATAAGGCCCAAATTGAAGATTCAAAATAATTTAAAACAACTAAAACTTTAGCGTATTTATAAGAATCACATCATTTTCAAGGCCTAACATACTCCCTCTCAGGATCACATTCATCAAAGGAATACAATATCAATCACAATATTGATTTGTAACTCAGACTCCCCTCCTGCAGACTCCTGGTCCTGCTGAGTTTCCACATCTGTTACAGACCATAGTATCACTATCGCCATGGTAAACACGTCCTAGAGGATTTTAGAGAACGTCTGTCAATCCCTGCAGCTCCCTCAGACCCTAAAGATGAGGAGGAAGAGGAAGAGTAGCATTTAGTATTGCTTGTCAGTATAGACTGTCACTATTAGATGAAGATGACGACTCGCTAACCTCGATCACCATGCGGATGTTAGCTTTGATCTTAGCAGAGTCTTTGGTGAGCTGCTCAGTGAAGCTAAAAACAGAAAGTTAGCACCGTTAGCCTCCCTCACTCACAGTAATTGACTCAGCTAGCATCGAGCTAACACACTAGGTCAGTTCACGAAATGTTATTGACAGAAACTAAGCGAGTATGGTTGATCTTTCATTCTTACTGTTATGAAAACCACAAAAGAAGAAAAGAGAGAAAAGGAGAAGACAGACAAGTAGAAGAAGAAGTAAAACAACTGACGCAGTGAGCTGACTTGTCTTCTTCTCAATAAATCGCAGAGCTTCGTCATGGGTCATCTCCACAAAGAAACCGAAACCGACTGCCACAAAGATCCTGGACGAGTCCTCCCTGACAGAAGAAGAAGTAGAAGAAGAGGCTTCTGGGTAATTATTTAAGGTCAATAACATCTTTTCAGTTGGTTCTGATCAGCTGGAAGAAGACAGGAAGTCCTTAATGATCTCAAACCACAAGTGCATTTAATGCTAAAGTCATTCTGTCTATCCGTCTGATCAATAGCTCACACTTCAGCCTGGACGAAGAAGTTACAGCCGAGATCAACATCAGTCTTCAGCTGAGAACCAGAATGCTGCAGGAACATATATGTACAGAGAGAGAGAGAACTTTGATTAAAAATAGATTTTTTTTGTTTCAAAGATTTTTTTCTCCCCAAATTCTATTAAACAGATGTTTTTCTTTATTAAGTTATTGAATGAATGCGTTAATAAGACATTCTAAATGATCATCATTGTTTTACCTGCAGACTCTGGATGGAGTTCTTCAACTGGAGGTAGTGCGAAATCTTCTCATAGACTGAATCTCTCTGCTCCAACACCTTCCTGTGGAGACACTCATCATCATCATCGGTCTGTCCACCAGTGCTTTCTGTCCACGCCACGTGCGCGCAAACACGGACATATTCAAGTGTTTTCCTTAAATTCTTAAGGTAATTTAATCATCCCTAGTTTATGTTTTGATCAGAGTTGTGATTAAAGGTTTGGGTGGGCCGCTAAAGATTTTCAGATTTCAAAGTGGGCCGCGGCATTCTTGAGTTTGGGAACCGCTGCCATAGACTATTGTATCCTGTTGCAGAGACTAGAACATTTGATTGGTATCAAAGGAACTGCACTCAGCTGGTTTAAATCCTACTTATCGGATCGATTCCAGTTTGTGCTTGTAAACGGTGAATCCTCGAAGACCACCAATGTTGGTCACGGAGTCCCACAAGGTTCTGTACTTGGACCGATTTTATTTACCCTCTATATGCTTCCTTTGGCGATCTTATCAGGAAACACCGCATAAACTTCCATTGTTATGCAGACGATACTCAACTGTATCTGTCGATCAAGCCAGAGGAGACGGACCAGCTTGTCAGATTTCAAGAATGTCTGGAGACATCAAAACTTGGATGACCGGCAACTTCCTGATGCTAAACTCAGAAAAAACAGAAGTTATCCTGATAGGCCCAGAGCGCCTTCGAAGCCAGCTGTCAAGTGATACAGTTTCTATGGATGGAATGTCTCTGGTACCCAGCAGCACCGTCAGGAATCTGGGAGTTCTCTTCGACCAGGATATGACCTTCAACTCGCATATAAAGAAGATTTCAAGGACTGCCTTTTTTCATCTACGTAACATATAAAAAATCAGGAACTTCCTGTCTCAAAGTGATGCAGAAAAATGAGTTCATGCGTTTGTCACTTTCAGACTGGACTACTGTAATTCTTTGTTATCAGGCTGCTCTTGTAAATCTCTTAAGCCTCTCCAGTTGATTCAGAATGCTGCAGCACGTGTATTAACAAGAACTAAGAAAAGGGATCATATCACTCCTGTATTAACTTTTCTGCACTTTACAACATTAGAATATTAGTAAAGCTGCTGTATGCAGAGCCGTGAGAAATGTCTTTTAAACGTTTTTGTAACGTATGGATTATGATTAGTGTGTACATTAAATATTAACACTATATTGGAACATAAGCCGTTTCTCTGTCTTTTGCTGCAGTAGCGTGTTGCTTTTCTTTCTAATTACGGGTTCATACTCGTACGCTTGCATTAATATTTGCAGGTGAATATATTGTTTGTGGTGGTTGTCATGGTGACTCGTAGGTTCGTGGCTCCGTTCATGCTGCCTTCATACTGTGATGGTGCTGAGTCAACCCACTCCGAGTTGATTGAACCAAGTCTAAACAGCTGTTCTGAAACCCAAACGTTTCCCATCTCAGTGAATCAACTTAGGATTTAGGGTTTGACTCAGTTTGTTAAACCTCCTACTTGAAACGGACCCTGGAGTGTGTGCGCACGTGTCTGTGTGAGAGGCTGTGCGTGTGTCTTACTGTAAGTCTCTCCTCAGAACTTCATTGATGAAGTTTTCATACTGCAGAACCTTCTGGTCCAGTTTAGCATTAGCATTAGCATCATCAGGCGGATACATCGTGTCTGTGTTTCTCTTAGAATCTGAACTTCCGGTTCCGTGAGCAGCATTTACTCCTCCGGTAAACTGACGTTCCGTTCACTTTCTGACTTCCAAACGGTAAGCACCCCGGAAGCCTCACGTAAACATCGAGTTGCCCCGGATGTGTATTAAAAGGTACTTCCTGATTTCAAAACTAAAGCAGCAGAAGCTACAGCTCTACAATGTCTGACTCTATCTAAAGCAGCAGAAGCTACAGCTCTACAATGTCTGACTCTATCTAAAGCAGCAGAAGCTACAGCTCTACAATGTCTGACTCTATCTAAAGCAGCAGAAGCTACAGCTCTACAATGTCTGACTCTATCTAAAGCAGCAGAAGCATTATTTCACGCGACCCACTTCGCAATGCGACATGGGGAAGTAAGACGGGGCTGTGTGCGTCTGTGTGTGTAAGGAGGTACAAAAAGGGAAGACATAATTTCCACAACACGGAACACTAATACACGCCAAGAGTTACTCTTTAAAATAAAATTCACATATACATAACGGTATTGAAAAAATAAAAAAATACAGACATTACAAATAAAAATTGGAAAAGAGAACGTGTACTTTTTAGTGTTTACTAAATAAAAAGTACTGAATTGAAAGTATATATATATATATATATATATAATATATATATATATATATATATATATATATATATATATATATATATATACATATAATCAAATATATATAGAAAATATATATGTAATAAAAATACGTGTATCAGAAGGTGAGTCTCTTCTACCGGCTTTGGATCTGTGTCGTCCCTGTAAACAAACGAGGCGGGTAGCTAGCAGCTCTGTAGCTAACGTTAGCTCCTTTTGGATTTATTCAAAGCATTTATAGAACAGACATGCGGGTGAAATCCCGGAACTCTGTGTCACTGTGATTCTTGTCGGACACGTTGTGTGGCGACACCAGCAGCAGTTTGGATCTAACGTTAGTGTGTGACGGTTGATGGATTTAACGTGAGCTAGGTTAGCTAACAGGTTACCAAGGCAACGTCAGCCAACAGGTAACTAAGTTAGCAGCCACTTTATTTCGTTCGTGTTTCTTTACAACACATTGTTTCTCTGGGATTAGTACTGAATGAGAATATTGTTAGGTTTTAAGAATTATTGTTGCGTACATATCTGTATTATTCAAAAAACGAGTGCAACGTCAGTGAATTAATTGATCTATTATCGGAGTTCATTATTTTCTTTTCACTCCCGCTTTTTGGCTTCAGATAGTAAACTGGAAGCTGAAGAAAAGATCCAAAATAGTTCATCGGTACCACCACCTGTAGTCCAGGTGGATGACATGGAGGAGTACAGTATTCTTGGTCGGATCGGTGAAGGAGCTCACGGCATCGTCTTCAAGGCCAAACACATTGAGGTAATACATAATACATCTCTTTCTCCCCACTGGGTTATCAATAAAGCAAGTATTGATGACGTCGTCTTTCAGACTGGAGAGACAGTAGCTCTGAAAAAAGTGGCTCTGAGGCGGCTGGAGGACGGCATTCCCAACCAGGCTCTGAGGGAGATTAAGGCCCTGCAGGAGATCGAAGACAACCAGCATGTGAGTGTCGGGATTGAAGGGGTCGGAGGTCAGGGGTCAGCCTCACACTCCTCTCCCTTTTCAGGTGGTGAAGCTGAAGGACGTCTTCCCTCACGGGACGGGCTTCGTGCTGGTGTTTGACTTCATGCTGTCTGACCTCTCTGAGGTGATCAGGAACTTCCAGCAACCTTTGACCCCGGCTCAGGTCAAAGGTTACATGATGATGCTGCTGAAGGGCGTGGCCTTCCTGCATCACAACAACATCATGCACCGAGTGAGAAAGACCTTGGCTGCGTTCGAATAGTCCTTTTTTATTTCTAAGGAAGGTTTCTAACTGAGTGAAATGATCCAAAAGTATTTAAGTGGCTGCCATGATAAGAGCTGTTTGATGGCTATTCAAATAAAAATTACATTAAATTAAATTACATGTCATTTAGCTGACGCTTTAATCCAAAGCGACTTACAATAAGTGCATTCAACCATAGGGATACAAACTCAGAAAAGCAAAAAACAAGAAAGTGCAATAGATAAGAGCCATTATAAGTCCAATTTAAGTGCTACAAATTGTTAGTCTTTTAGTCAAGGTAGAGTCTGAGGTGTGTCTTTAGTTTGCGGCAGAAACTAAACTAACCCATTGCCTTATATTACTAACCCATAGCATTATATTTTATTGTATTCCTCGTGCACTGTTGTCTTGTCATCCATTGTCGTACTGTCTGTTGTTATGCACCAACCGCCAAGTCAAATTCCTTGTACTGTATGTCTGACATATTATGGCAATAAATGTTTCCTGATCCTGATCCTGAAGATGTAAAGGCTCTATGCGGTTCTGATGTCATCAGAGAACTTGTTCTACCATTTCGGAGCAAGGACGGTCAAAAATGACCTTGTAACATCCAGACCAGACCACTATCCCTTGAATGCTGTGGAAAACGTCACAGGGTCAAGGACAGATGGTTAGAAGTTTTCACAAGGAGAAAAGACAACACGGTGTTAAGTCCAGCCAATGTCTTCATTGTGACTCCTTAACCCCTCAAAATAAAAGCTCTGATGTATGCGTGCGTGTGTCGATGTGTTTGTGTGTAGGACCTGAAGCCAGCAAACCTCCTCATCAGCTCTTCGGGTCATCTGAAAATTGCAGACTTTGGTTTGGCGAGATTGTTCACTGAGCAGGAAGACAGACTGTACAGCCACCAGGTGGCCACCAGGTGATGCTCACACATTGTTGTGCTCTATTACGACTCTTATTATTACCGTTTTATTTACTGTACTATTACTGTTTTACATAGTATATTATTACTGGTTTGTTTACTAAACCATTACGGTTTTATTATATAATTATACAACATTAGAGTATGTTATATATTCTCTTTATTATTTACTCTATTGTTTACTTCTATTTAGTCTCATCATCACAATAATATTTTACCATATTATCAATCCATTAATGCTTTATTATATACAACTTACACTTACAGGTGGTACAGAGCCCCTGAGCTGCTGTATGGTGCCAGAAAGTACGACGAAGGAGTTGATCTGTGGTGAGAAAACCTCTCTAAAAATACTCAGATTACTCCCGCTAGTACTACTACTAACTGGGTAACTACCAATACTACAGCTATCACTACCAATACTACTACTGCTACTATTACTATTCCTTTTATTGTTCTTATTGTTATGTGTAGCATGAGGCTGCACTCTATCTATCCATTATTATTATTATTGTCAATATATTGATATTGTTATTACTTGGTGTAGCATGAGGTTATTATTAGTATATTATCACTACACTAATAATTACTATTATATTATTTAACACACTATTTTTATAACATTATTATCATAAGCGTTTGAGTTTATTATAGGTGTAAGTATTATTAATACACTGTTGTTGTTGTTGTTATTATTATAACAGTATTATTATAAGAAGGTTGAGGTTGTCCTTCATAGTCGACACTACGACTGACTTAACCCCGTCAGAATAGATGTTCCTCGTCCTGCAGCCCTTCATAGTCAAAACTTGTGCGTTTCAGGGCGGTGGGCTGTATTTTCGGGGAGCTGCTGAACTTGTCTCCTCTGTTTCCTGGTGAAAACGATATCGAACAGCTCTGCTGTGTCCTCCGAGTGCTGGGGACACCGACTGAGGACAGCTGGCCTGTGAGACCCCGCTCCTCAGGGACACTTGCTACTTCTGCTTCTTCTGCTTTCTTCACATTTGTTGTTTACATAACCAACGTGAGAATTGCATGATATAAATGGGGTTATTTTATTGGACGCTGAGGCTCCGTTCTGCTCTTTGATTGGCTGATCTCGTCCTTGTCTTATTTTGGAGGGGGAAAGACTTTAATGTTAAGTACATTTATATGTAAGTACACAGAAGTATTTAGTATAAGTAAACATTTTTCTCTCTTTTAGGAGATTGTGGAGTTGCCAGATTACAATAAAATCACCTTCAAGGAGAATCCAGCGATCCCATTGGAGCAGATCGTCCCGGACTCTTCCCCTCAGGCCGTCGACCTGCTCTACAACTTCCTGGTTTATCCGTCCTACCGACGCTGCTCTGCTCGACAGGTATGAAACTCTCTGCATTTGAATTGTCAAATTTGCATAGGAAGGTTACTCACTGAGTGAAGGGAAGTGGCTGTTCTATTCTCTAATGCTATGGAAAGGAGTTTTAATGCTTCCTTACTTAGCTCCATTAGCATAGGAACCACTGGACCACTCTATACGAAACAAAAGGACATCATTTCGACCCACAATTCCTTGCAGCGCCAATATTTACATTTGTATCATTGACATATCATTGGTCTGTTCACGAGAAATAACGGTCATGACGTAGAAACGCAGATCATGTGAGTAACCGTTACTATCACTCGTTTATGTTAATAAAGTTTTACTTTGAACCTGGTTGTTTGTGTCTCTGGATGACTCACACTGTAACAACACATCTGAGATGCTCCTCTGTAGCCGCTGCAGACTGACGTCCCCAACATGCGTCTCCGTCCATCACGACGACGCAGCTCTGTGGAAGTGGTGTCCATTCACTAAACACCAAGTTGTCTCTTCCTAACTCCTCATGGACTCTCCTAACCATCTTTCCTTGACCCTGTGACGTTTTCCACAGAGGTCAAGGAATAGTGGTTAGGAAAGGAGGTCATTTTATTGACAATCAAGCTATCTAGGTAGTTCATTGGCGGGTCATTGACGATCAATCGGCTTACTGCCTTTGGACCCTTGCTAGTGTCAACTGCTACTGCATCATGGGAAATCTAGGAGGCAGATCAAATCAATCATCATCAATCTCTGATCATCTGAACCAGCAGATGATCAGTTAACTCAATACTTGATCAATGATTAATCAATAACTTGTAAACGTGGGGATTATTAGAAAAGCAATAAAAAGAAAATATTTAGTTTATTATTTAAATCTTCCTAAATGATTGATAGTTTGATGTTGATGTTGAACTAATCTATTGATCCACTAATCATTTCAGCTTGTTGAAGCCTTAATCAATGAATACAATTCATCTCATTATCCCATAGCAATTGATTGATCAATACATACATTTACATATTGCAGACTTATTGAGTGATTGATTCATTGATTGAGGGTTTTGGGACTGAAGTACTGGTTGATTGATGCTTTGATCGATGTATTATTGTATTGATTGATCAATGTATTGTTTGACATAATGATCCTCTTCTTTGCAGGCTCTCCTCCATCCCTTCTTCTTCTCCTCTCCTATTCCTGCTCACCACTCAGAGCTTCCCATTCCTGAGAGGGGGGGTCGACTCCCCCACCAGCGGCTGCAGGCTCCACCCAGCGACTTCTCAGTGGACCTTCCTCTGCATTGCAGCATGGTAGACCCTGCCCTGCTGCGGGGTCACGCCTCCTAGCATCCCTTATGTCACGAAGTTTAGCTCACACAGGAAGTCAACGGTTTCCTGTTGTTCCAAAATAAACAAACAGCATGAAAAGGACCATCAAGGAGCTGATTACTTAACTCATGCACTTTATGTATATACATTAAAATATCCCCTGAGCCGCTTGTTGTTTGAACTGATAACTGATTAGCAAGTCACTTTCTGCACTTGCTCAATAACAACGAGAAGGACGATGCCTTCACTTTGGAAACTTTGTACATCAAATGTTCCAGAACTTCAATCAAAACGTGGCTGAGGCTCTGGTAGACATTTACGAACCCTTTCCGTAAGTCCGAATTGGATGTTTAGTCCAAAGGGAATTTCCCACAAGTAAATGTGACGTTAAAAACGGGATATGGCACAGAGAATAAATAGAGGACGGCAAACATTAAGGATTAAAGATGGATAAAAAAAACCATACAAAATCAGACAATATTTATTCATCTACTCATGAAACATAAAAAAACAATTTGATAAAACGTAAAACATTATCTAAAATTGCCTCTCATGTTATGGGGAAAGAACATGAAATACATCCAAATTAGAGAGTAAAACATATTACATAAATACCCTCAATTGTAAATCAAATTTTTCACGTTGTCATGGTGATGTGGCATGTGGCAGCAAAAAGTGCTGTCCCTTCATTTTTACACCATTTAAGCCCTCACCCTCAACCACTTACCAGGTGACCTCAATTAAGTCCCTGAGGGGCCAGGGTTTAGGGGGCGATTGGGGTTTTGGGCCCAGAACTCACCTGGTCAGTCTTGCCTGAGTCCCTATCACCTGAATGAGTGTCATGGCCAGGTGAGGCTGACCTCACATCTTATGGAATTTAAACACAAAACGTGACTTGAATGAATCCATTTATTGATCATAACTGAACCCTCGGAATAATAACAGCGAATAAATTAGGAATTTCTGTCATTTTTAATAAATCTAACGGCCTTGGCAAGGGGACTAATTTGACATATTTTTTTTTGCTTTTCTCCAGTTTTGAGATTTAAAAAATAAAACACTTCCAATGTCTTCCGACCCAATAACTCTGATGCCAACACCTACTTACATCTGAGCCTCTGACATCACCATAGAGCTGATTCTTATGAAACATGCAAGTTGCTTTTCATCATGAATATAAAGTTAGTTTGGGACTGAAGCATATTTAAATATGTTTAAATGACAGACTGCAGCTGTAACACTGTGATGTCCTGTCTGACTTTGTGTCTGTCTATCTGGATATTTATACATTACTTTTTTATTAACAGAACACTCGGCTTGTCACTCGGAAAGCAATCTCTTGTCATCAGTTCACATAAAAATGTCATAACTCAAACATCTAAATGTATATTCCTAATTCTTAATGCTCACAATGTGCATTTTCTATTTTCGCTGGTCTTCTTTGGACCAGAACCTGAATGTTGGAGTCCAGACAACCTGATCCTCAGATCATCATCGGGCTGCCTTGATAAACTGCATAGAAGAAGAAGAAGATGCAACGTGCCCTTTGTAGGGAACAGGCTGAGGGTCAGGGCCAAAGCGCAGCCCGATGTGTATGTGAGTTGTAGAGTAACCGCAGGAGGCATGCATACAGACAGAGAGACAGAGACATTAAGACAGACATACAGAGAAAGAAAGACAGAGTGGCAGAGGAACATCGATACAGAGAGAGAGACAGGCAGAGACAGCGATACAGAACGTTTTAAAAACGGGATAAATGATGGATGCGAGTTGAACCAACTACTTCCTCATGTGTACTTACATGCTAAATTTAATTTCAGTGTATTAAATGAAACATATTCAAAATATAATAATTTGATTATAAAAACCGTGTGTGTGAGGGGGCGAAGGAAGTCGCTCTGCAGGACAAAGGCTGGAAACAAAATGAGGCACTTGTTGTGATCCGGGTCCGAGCGTCAAGCGTCGCCTCGGCCGTTGCTATAGAGACGGGTCAACTGGTTGCCGTGGCCATGCTATAGTTATTGACAGCCAGCAGGACGACATCTGGACCTGAACTGTGTGTGAGTTATGGCTCTGTTACATCGTTACAGCAAAGTGTTTAGTCGTTGTCTTTAAAAGCAAGCAGGCAAATCGGATCATCCGACTATAATAATAATAATAACAACATCAATGTCATCAAGCCTCTACGCGTTTATAAAAATAAAAAATCATTCCAGTGATATTCACATGCTCGGATTACAGAGGAGGGGACCTTCGGCAGAAACACACTCACGTTGTTTGCAAACAAGTTCAAAGTTGATAGAAGGCCTTTAATAGGCGGCCATGTGAGAAGCCTAAATGTCATTGGCCAATCTGAGGCCTGAAAAGGTCCCCACCAGCCAATCAAAATCAAGTTCTTGTTTCTTTCTTGTCATCACTAGTAGACAGTCTGCTGTCATCCAATGAGATGCAGGGGGAGGCGGATCTTCTCTAAGCAGGCCAATCCAAAAAGCCCTTATAAGTAGCCTAAAAAAAAGGAAAAATGAAGATTGAAAATGAAGAACTTGGTGTGAGTCAATAAGAGAGAGAGGACACCCACTTGACCACCCACCAAGCCCACTGCCAATCAGTCTCTAAGGGTTCAGCTCCAGCCATGGGTGCCATCCAGCTGACGCGTCCCCCCCAGCTTTCCTCCAATCAGAACCCTCCCTCCACCTCGCTGTGGCAACGCTGGCAGCTGATTGGCTGACCTCTAAGAAGATGGTTGTTGTTTCGCTGTCGTCAAACATCGGCATGAGGAAGGAGAATACAGCCCCATTTCTCCCAGAATACTTTGAGTTGGGGGGGGCGGGTGGTGCTGTTGTCTCTCCCCTCTTCGCCTCCTCCATGTGGGTCATGGTCCCCGTCTTCCTCTCCTTTGCCCCTCCTCCGGACTCTTCCACCTCCTTCAGTGGCAGCACCGTGTCCCAGGACTGAGCACTGATCCTGGGTAAGTCCCCGCTTTTCTTCCCCTCCTCCCTCTGGTTGTCTCGCTTCTCCCTCAGTCTGACAGTGTGTACCTTCTTCTCCTCCTCCTCTGCTCCTTTTCCTCCTCCTCCCGTGCCTTTTCCTCCACTATGTCTAGGTCCAGATCAGGACGTCCTCCTCCTTCTCCTTTTATTTCTCTGGTTATTCGTTTGGTGACTACCCCTCTCTTCCCTCCTTCTCCTCGCGGCTTGCAGAGGGAGGCGGTTGTCGTGGTTACTGTCTTTGAATCTTTCTCCTGTGCGTATGAGGAGGAGGAGTGAGGAAGGCCTCCGTTCTCAGGGCCTGAGTAACAAAGGGGGAAATGAAGGAGTTGAGCTGCAGTTCACCCAGCAACCACCAGAGGGAGATGGGACAATATCAGCTTGGCCTGCTGATGTTTATTTACACACACACACACACACACACACACACACACGTACACACATATATACATAAACATATATATACTGTACATATACTTACAGTGCCGTGTAAGTATTCATCCCCTTGGACTTTTCTACATCTTGTCATGGTATAATTTAAATGTATTTCATTGGGATTTTATGTATGGAACAACAGAAAATAGGATTGGATCCAAATCCATTGGATTTCAAATTCATTTACAAATTAAAGTCTGAAAAGTGTTAAATGCATAAGTATTTACCCCCTTTACTGTAAAACTCCTCATAAAGATCTGGTCACATAATTAGCAGATAGGGTCCACCGGTCTGCTATTTAATCTCAAGATAAATACACGTGATCTGTGAAGGCCTCAGAGTCTGTTAGAAAGGGTTACTGAACAAAGAGCATCACGAAGACCAAGGAGCTGACCCAAGTATGAAGCAGGGTTAGCTTCTAAAAAACCATTCCAAGCTTTGAACACTTATAAAATCCATCATCAACAAATGGAAAGAATATGGCACAACCACAAAGCCACCAAGAGAAGGCCGTCCACCCAAACTGACCGCAAGGAGAAGATGAATCAGAGAAGCAACCAAGAGGCTCAAACTGTGGAGGAGCTGCAAAGAGCCACAGCTGAGTGGGGAGAATCTGTCCACCGGATAACAATTACTGTGTCCTCCACAAATCTGTCCTCTATGGAAGAGTGAACCAGAATAAATCACAGGTCACTTGGGAGACACAGCAACATGTGGAACAAGGCGATCTGGTCAGATGATAACTTTTTGGCCTCTGTGGAGGGAACCCAACACCACCCATCACCCTGAGCACACCACCCCAACGGGGAAACAGGGTGGTGGTAGCATCATGCTGTGGGGATGCTTCTCTTCAGCAGCTACAGGAAACTAGTCACTGTGAGGGGAAGATGGATAGAGACAAATACAGGGCGATCCTTGAAGAAAATATGATGCAGTCTGTAAAAGACTTGAGACTTCCAGCAGGACGATGACCCTCAACATACAGCAGCGCCACAATCAATAGTTTAGATCAAAGCATGTTCATGGTTTAAAGATTCCCAGTCAAAGAACACACCTCAATCCAATTGAGAATCTAAGGCAAGATTTGAAAACTGCTGTTCTGATGCTCTCCATCCAATCTGACTGAGCATCAAGAAGAATGGAGGAACATGTGCAAAGCTGGTGGAGACATTCCCCAAAGGACCTGCAGCTGAAGGTGCAGAGAACCTTCTACCAAGTTTTGAATGGGGGCGGCACACTTATGCATTCAACAGATGTCAACTTTTTTGTTCTCATTATTATTTGTGAACCTGCAGTTCACATTGTATCAAGTACTATGCAGCTTATGTTGATCAAATGGGAAAAAGTGTTAACACCATCTTTATGCTAGTAATAACACGTGATGTCGTGGAAGGTAAAAGAAGGAGAACAGGAAGTTACCAACCGCAAGTTTTCAGTGCGTCCAATCACGTAGAAGCAGGGCTCCCCCTGCTTAGAGTTTGTCATACAGAGAGACAGGCTGGACAACTCCACTGAGACAGAAGAGGAGGAAGAGAAAGAGGACAGAAAGTACAGGGGGAAGAAGGAAAAGGAACTGTCACCACAAAGAGAACCCCGGAGGTTTGATTGGTTGATTGAGGTTCAGATATTTGTAAAGTGAAACAGTCATTGAAAGATTTGATTTGATTAAATTCAATTCAATGAATTTTATTTTGTATAGCCCAAAATTGCAAATTACAAATTTTCCTCAAGAGGGCTTTACAGTCTGTACACATGCAACATCCTCTGTCCTAGGAAGGGGCAGTATACCATTTCAACCGCTATACAAGTACTAAGATTTCCCTACGGTACGACATGGTCACATACTGGTCATATACCAGTGTTAACCCGTAACAAATGACCTTGCTCTTCAGTAGGCAGAAACATTTATATTTTCACCTCATTGCTGAGTGCCCAGCAGTCAGAGCTACTTGTGTTACGTGTATTGAGTTTGAGTCATGCTCATAACTTTATAACAGCAATTAATAACACACAACAAATGTTCTTTAACAGGGTAAAACACCACGACACAACAGCTTGTGACACACAAACAATGTGAAACACTTGTAACCCAGGTTGAAACATTGGTTTTGCCGTCCCCTGGCCCTCTTAAGATGCGATCTCACGCAACCCCAGTCACGTGACTGTGCTTGGCCAATCGCGCAGTAGAGCACGAGTTTAAACCAGGCTGCAGCGTCTTCCTCATTCAGAGGTGTGGGGAAGCTGATCGGCAGCTGTGGACAGGTTTGTGTTCAACAAACAATTCACTCTTGTGCTTGATTTATTCTTTGAGATTAAAACATATCATTGTAACTTTTAGAATAACTTAGTGGCTGCAGGGAATCGTCACCGTCATCAGGTTGCCATATGTTTACATAGAGGAACTGGTGAGTACTCTGAATGAATGAACTACATGCTCAAAGCTAACATATTAATCAAATATTTACCATCTGGTTTTGATTAATTTTATGCGGTTTTGGGTTACAAATATATTTGTTTTCAGTAAGTGTGCATGTATTAAGGAAAGTTGATTATAGTACTGTTGAATTTATTTGAACTTTGTGCAGGCAATACAACTTGTACATTGTACTGTTGATTGAGTTGTCATGCACTTAATGTCTATTAATTGTCAACTAATGTTGATTTATTTAGAAATTGTGTGCACCTGGAAATGATATTTGAGTGTGGAATGAGCTAATGTTAATGCTTAGTTCCAACTTAGCCCTGTTATTTACTGGTCCTGTTGTTGCACTACAGGCCAGGTTTTCCTCTCTGTCTGGAGACGAATGATGGCGAGCTGGATTACCATTGCTGGGAGCCCACCATCCGTGTAGCATCCACTGAATAGCCAATCCCCCCCCGCACACTCCTCCATAGACTAGTGCTTCAATCCCACATACACATCCTTTCACTTGATGAACAATAACCTACGGACTACTCAATACAAACATTCCATAAAATCCTTGTGGATTTAAACAAATTTAAACTTATGTTTCTGTGTTGTTACTGACCACCAGCTCCTGTAGCCGAATTTGGACTTCTGTAATTTATACTAGCCTATACTGTTATTTCTATAGCCTTCTATTGAACGTATTATAGCTAATATTAAGAACATATTAATATCAGTTAACCATCTCGAAGACCCGTTACACACTAATAATTGTACATTTAGATAATAACCCGCTATCACAAGACAAAACTTGGTAGCTACATGAAAACACGGAAAAGAGCGATGCACTTGAAACAACGACAGACCGTGTAACACAACGTCTGCCAAAGAGACGAGCTGTGTCTGTTTGGAAGTTTTTGGTTTTGAGAAATCCGACGTAAGTTAGATTAGAAAACTGGTTTGTCGAGCAGCTGGTATTGCCTCTGGTGGCAACACTAACAGCCACAACAGCTAACACGCTAATAAGCTATCTTTTCGGGGTCAATGAATTAATGTGTTTACTTGAAGAAAAAAAAAGCGGGTGATATACCGGGATACCGTCACAGTCTTACAAAATGCTGTGATATGAATTTTTGGCCGTACCAGCCCTACTCTGTCCCAAAACCCTCGTCACAGGTAAAACTCCCCAAAAAAGAAAAAAACGTCAATGGGGAAAAAGGGAAGAAACCTTTAGAGAGAACGGCAGAGGCGGGATGGACAGACTACAATGGAGTAGTAAGCCAGGTGTTTGGCAGGATACCTGATTAAACAGTAACTTCTGTTCTTTTTACAATTGCTTCATTATTTTCATTTTGCGCCAACTCAGGAGTTTAGTCAACTTAATTCACCTGTATAGTCAGTTTGTTACAAATGACCTGTGAGGTCAGATGTTACAGGTGACATGTGAGGTCAGATGTTACAGGTCACGTATCAGGTGTTGTAGGCCATCTCACCATAGTCGGGCACGTATCCATTTCCCTTCTTCAGCACCAGGTGGATCCGTTGTCCTCCTCGCCTGATCTGCTCCACAGCCTGACTGTGTGTCATCCCCGATGTGCTGTCTCTATTGATCTCCACCAGCTGGTCCGACACCTGAGACATACAAACATTTCAATTAAATGTATTTTGTATAGCCCAAAATAGCAAATTACAGATATTACTCACAGGGCTATAAAGTTTGTGCACATGCAACATCTTCGGTCCCGAAACCCACACATCGACGCAGGAAAAACTCCCAGGAAAATGAAAAACCCTCCGATGGGGAAAAAAGGGAATACTCACAGCTCTCCATCGTTTAGCAACCTTATGTTCAATCAAATAGTTGTTGTCATATCTTTCCTCCCTCCCTCTCCCGCTCTTTCTTGTTCGGTGTGTCACATGTTTAGCTACTCCTCTGCCTCCTGTACAGATGCATTATGTTTGATAAATTGGAGGCGAGGCTTAGTGAGTTAGAAGCATCGCTCCGCACCATGGTAGCTCAGTCGTTAGCTTCTGTAGCTGCCCACCCCGCCCCCGTAGTTGGTGCGGCCCACATAGACATTGATTCGTTGATCACTGGAAGACGTTTTGCGGAGAGCCTGGTCTGATTAGGAGGGACGTCATTTCTAAGAATCTGATCCAGTTTCTTAGTGGACCCAAGACCCAGAGTTCCGACCAGGAAGCAGATTCGCAGTTTTGCACACTTCTCTGCGCTTCCATCCGAGCAGTCTATTTTTTCTTATTGAAACCGGGCTGTCGAATCGAGAATCAGCTTAATGAAGAGACTCCAACTCATGTTAATACATATATTCCTCAAGGCACAGGCCGGGGAGGTGGAATTAGTATTAAAGGAACCATACCGAGCTAGTTTGAGTCATATTTATTGGATCAATTTCAGTTTGTATTTGTAAACTGTGAATCCTCAATGACCACCAATATTGGTCCCATAAGGTCCTGTGATGAACCGATTTTATTTACCCTGTACATACCTTTAGGTCAGAGGTCTTCAACGTTTTTCAAGCCAAGGTCCCCCAAACTGATGGCGAGGTGAAGCAGGAACCCCCTATTCTACGGAGTTTGGTCCGCCATCTTTTATTTTTGAGCTTCACGCTCTTTAGACGTGAGCATAAACGCGATCTGATTGGCTGGTGCCTGCGCTGTCGTATCAGCATGAAAGGAGCAGTGAGTGAACCGGTGCCCAGCTTGAGTGCTGCTGAGGGAAGCTGATGTGTGTGTTGCGGACTGATAGATAACGTCTTCTCCATCAATTTATCCGTTCGCTTCAATATGTTGGATTCATGTTAATGTGTATTTAAAGACCATAAATAAAATTCTGATTCTGATTCTGAAGACATTTACATTTGTGGGGAAAAAAATTGTCTTATCAACCAAAAATTTCGCGACCCCCCTGCAGTACCTTCGCGGACCATTTGGGGGTCGCAGACCCCCTTTTGAAGACCTCTGCTTTAGGTGATGCTATCAGGAAGCACTGCATTAACTTCTATTGTTAAGCAGATGACACTAAATTGTATCTGTCAATGAAACCAGTTGAAACCGACCAGTTTGTTAAGACTTCAAGAATGTCTTAGAGAGGTTATCTTGATAGGCCCAGAGCGCCTTCAACGTCATCGGTCTGGTGATATAGTTTCACTGGATGGAATTGCTCTGGCATCCAGCAGCACCATCTGAACTTCTGCGTTCTCTTCGACCGAGATGTGTCAGACTTTAAGGACAACTTTTTTTCCCCTTTGTGTAATATATCGAAAATCAAGAACTTATTGTCTCAAAGTGATGCAGAAAAGACTAGACTAGATACAGGATTCTTTATTATCAGGGTTATATGGATATCATTACTATTTCTGTCATCATAAACCAACATTACCCGCTTCGCTTCTTTCCTGATGTCTTCGTCCTTTCCCTCCCCACAGGTTTCTGTGGATGGTAGTCACATCTGATGGTGGAACACTAGGTATGTACCTGTTTTTACTTTTATTTAAGATCACACACCTGCTCAGTTTGCTTTGGATCACCAGGAGCCTCCAAGGGACAGCTGGCACCAGAAAGGTGGAGATTCTGATGATGTCATGTTATCCTCATACTGTTACATCATTGCTGGAATGAATATTTTACGGGCACTTCTTCTGTCTGGTGACCGTCATCACGAGTGAAAACAACTTTCTGCAGATTTTCACAACAAAAGCCTTCCATAGAAGATAACTGACTTTTAATGCGAAATAGCTGCAAGAGTGAGATTCAACCTGTGTGTGCGTGTCATGTGTACCTGTATCTTGTTGCTACGCTGGGCCGGACCCCCCTCCATTAGTCCCAGTACATAGAGCCCCATGTTGTACTCGCTGCCCCCGCGCAGGGAGAACCCGAACCCTGTGGGACCTCGTTCCAGATCCACGTTGTAGAACCTGGACTCTTCCTGAGGGATGGGCACACAATACAAGTACTGCTGATACTAGTGAGACTACTAGTGAGACTACTATAATGAATACTGGTATTAGTACTAGCACATTTTAGTATGGTAGTACTAGAACTACTACTATCAGTGCTAATACTACTACTGACCCTTGATCTCCCTCTAGATCCTTTCACCAGCCGGCCAGCGATGTCCAGGTCTGCCCCCCTCAACAGAGAGGACGAGTCTGAGGAGAGAGGATGTTCTCAAATCATGTAATTCATACTTCACTTATCTTTCTAGAAAATAGTTCCTATTTTAATAACATTTTTACAAATGCATTAATATTCTCCGCTAAAAGTGTATTTATGAAACACGATACAGAGCAGTGTACGTGTGTGTGTGCGAGCCCATACGGCGCGTTGGTGTGATGCTCAATCTCAGGGTGTTCCCGGCCCTCCTGAGGATCTGGGCCAGGTCTCGGTGCTGCAGACCTCCAACTCCTCGGCCCTCCACTGCCTCCAGCTGGTCTCCAGGCTGAATCTGCCCGCTACGAGCCGCCGGGCTGCCGCGACGCACGGTAACAAAGCGGTGGGACATCAGGGAGGGGGCTGCAAGGGTCCGGGGTTGGAAACCATTGAAATGGTTAAATTCCTTGTTCCCAAATATTAACAAAAGCAACCAAAACAGACTGGGATGTGTTAGCGAGTAAGGAACAGGGTCCTTGTCCTAAAAGTGTGTCATCCGCTCTGCAGAGAGGGTGATCGGCTGCAATCTGCCGTGTCTCCAGGACTTGTTCACTGCAGGACCCTGAAGCAGCTAAAAAGATGGTAGCCGACCCCTCTCACCCCGGACAAAACTTGTTTGTGCCCCTTCCATCTGGCAGGAGGCTGAGGTCCATCAGGACTAAGACCTCCCGCCACACCAACAGTTTCTTCCCGTCGGCAGTCGGTCCCCCACTGACTGACTCCTCCGGTCACTTTCTTTCTCACTGCACACGTCACTTTTACTTGTCACTTTATGTTCGCAGGTGCACTTTATTTTTTAAATATTTAAATATTTTTAACTTAAACTTTTATTCCTTTACTTTAAACTAACCCATAGGCTTATACTACTAACCCATAGCATTATTTGTTATTTTATTCCTCGTGCACTGTTGTCGTACTGTCTGATGTTACGCACCAGCTGCCAAGTCAAATTCCTTGTACAGTAATCCCTCGTTTATCGCGGGGGTTACGTTCCGAAAATGACCCGCGATAAGTGAAATCCGCGAAATAGAAAACTTTTTTTTTTTTTACAATTAGCAACTATTACATGTATACAAATACAGTGACTCGCGTGTAGGCCGTTTCACTGCTCTTCAGACTGGGCCGCTGCATCCTGACTGCGCTCTGCAGTGTTCTCTTCTTCTGAAGCCCGCGGTGCAGGTGTGTTTGTTCGGGAGAAGAACATAGTGATAGGCAGCTGTTGTCGCTCTTTTTTCTTCTTTGCAAAAAGATCCTTGTACACCGACATGCCACCATCGATTACGTTGGAGAACTGTAATGAACGGCTCGGGAGTGAGTTTTTAGCGAATCAGAATGCAGAGCACAATGCACCAAAAAAAAAAAAATGCAATATGAAAATCCGCGAAATAGCGAATCCGCGATAAGTGAACCGCGAAGTGGCGAGGGATCACTGTACACCAATCAAGTAGAACTACTCTGCAGTAGTAAACTAAAATGATTTTATTCACTGCATGAATTCAAGTTCATAATGTCTCCAGACACCCATTTGATCATCTTCATGGCAAAATTCCAACGGGTGGAACATGTTGAACTAGCGACCCTGCTGTACTCATGCACTTTGCTCTTGACTCTGTGTATGAAGAGCCAAAACTTCCGACATTTAGCCAGGACCCTTTACAAACCACTGTCTTTTAGGGAAGCATTGGTGGTCCCCTGTAGAGGTAGGTGTTGAGATGGAACCCTAGAAGCTAGCTTAGCTTAGCGGTGCGTTAAGTGGTCCGCTTGCCACTCACCCCGCTTCTGTTTGCCACATGGAGGAATTCCTCTGCACAGTTCTCCGCTGTATGTACAAAGTTACGTTAACTGCGTTAAAATATTTTATCCCATTAATCTCAGCCACCATCTATTTAATATATGATACTCCGATGTTTCTTGAGGTTCTTCACTCACCATCACTTGCTTCCTGAGAGGCGATGACAAATCCGAAACCTTCTCCTGCCCGCCTCCTCAGATCCACCTCCACCATCCTCGTTGCTCCTACTCTTCCCTCCTTGGCAATTGCTCCCAGTGCTCCTCGCGGTGCTCCTGTTCTGGTGGGAAGTGGCCCGCCGGCGCCCTCCTCCACTCCAAGAAGGTCACGCGGCTCTAACGTCAAGGTCACAGGAACAGAGTCCAGAAAGCTTGTGCTCTGGATGAGGGCCGACGCTGGGGCGTCCGGGGCTTCTGGGGAAAACGAAGCAGCAGTTAGACTGATGGAGAGGGGAGGACCAGGAGATGTCGGAATGATGGAGACAAGATGACAAGGAGTAGTCAGACTGATAGAGAAGACTGACAGACTAAGAAAGAAGGATGACTAAGAGTCAGACTGATGGACCAAGAGGACAAGGAGAACTCACCTTGGGGTGTCCCTACGACAGGTACCTCCCCGGGACTCTCCAGTACCAAACCGGACCGGCTGAGAGGGGAGATGCCCCCCATCAAAGCACCGGTGTTCGGAAGAGCCAAGTCTGGTGAGGTTGGGGTGTCGGAGGAAGTAGGCGTGGCCAGGCTGTTTGGGGAGGGGAGTGGCTTATAGAGGTTAGGGGTGACGACCGGAGACAACACGGAACCTGTTGGAGGGAAATGGTTCTTCAGCTTTTATCGGTGGACCATCACCAAGTTGAGAGAACTCAGCAGATGGAGGGTTAAACTTCACGCACCTCCTCTGATGACCAGGAGTACCACCTCCCCCTGCTTTGTGTGTTCCTGCAGGAGTCTCTGGACCTGAGGACAGAAATGCACTAATGGTTATTGAGGAGTCTGGTTCCTATCTTGTAACATTCTGTTGAAGAGTCTTTGAACATCTCTGGGATCAACCTCCACGACTCAAAGTCTCTCAGGTCGAGAGGATCAGCCTATCATCTCCACCCTTCTTGGAAAGCCAAGACCAGAAATTCTTTGAAGGACCAGAGACCAGAGACTAGGAGACAGGCGTGGAGATGCATCTGATAAACTTTGCACACCTCAGATGTGAGCCACTAGCATCTGAAACACTACTGCGACCTTCACTCTAGCAATTACTCTCCGGACGGACTGCGAGAGTACACTGCCAACTGAGCGGGGCCGCCGGGTGAAGCCCCGGATCTTTACCTGACAAACACTGAGGCTCTGCACGTCGGCCCCATTGACCTTTACGATGGTGTCGCCTGTCTGCAGGGAGGGGCAGCGCCTCCGGTCCCAGACCCGCCTCACCACCGCCAACTGACCCCCCCGCCCTCCCCCCGCCGTCACGCTGAACCCCAGCCCGCCGCCCTCGCCGCGGGCTAGGGCCACCGGCACCAGTTCCCCGGGAGGAGCCGCCTCGAGGGGGGGGAGCGGCAGTTCTAGGGCGTTTTCTCTGGGGGCCAGGGGGGTGGACAGCAACGGGTGGTTGGCTGGACATCCGTTGAATCCGCAGGTCAAGGGGTCTCCAGGAGGGGGCGGGGCGAGGGGTAAGTTCTGGGGCACTGGAGCGCCAGGAGGCGAGGAGGAGGTGGGCATGTGCGCGACGGCACTTTGGTAGAGGGCCGTCTCTGGCTGAGAGGGGTTTGGCTTGGAGTGAGCATGGGAGGAGGAGGAACTGATGGGGAGTGTGGAGGACGAGGTAGGGAGCGTTGACGTGGACAGGTCGCTCTCTGAAGACTTGGAGCTCTGGTGGTGGAGGAGGGAGGAAGATGAGAAGGTGGGGAGGGTGCTGCTGCTGTAGCGAATCAGAGAAGACCTGCGAGGAAGAGTAGATATTTCCTTTATTATCTCAAGAGCTTTGCAAACACCTATGTCAACAGCAACATCTCTTGTTCAGTGAGACGTCAAAAATAACCAGTCAGAGCTCAGTAGGCAGGGATCAGATGTTTGTTCTCCTAGTGCCGCTTCTGATTGGTCGGGGACCAATATGACAATTATGTTTCTGACATAAAGACACTTTATTAAACGGCCGCTCACCGGAGACACACACAGCTGAGACTGAACGCCTGTTAGTTAGTGTGTAACCGAGAGACGCACCGAGCCGACACAACACGTCATCAGACCGGCTGCTGGTCCGCCTGAAGCCGCAGTCATCCAGACACGCTTCCTGAGGGAGTCGGTGAAATTCAAGCTGTGTGCGGCGATGGATGATGTCATGAACCCGAACACAACACTGTTTGCGGTTCCGACTTTGTGTAATTCACACAACAAATAAATAGCATAAATTGTGGTTATTTATTGCCATGGTGGATAGTGGTAACCATAACTGTCTTTACGGAGACACGTAACTGAGATAAGCCACGCCCCCTTCCAGGCATGAATGAAGCGAAATACTCGCGCGAGTAAACTAAAATTTGCTTCGCTTTTGGTGTGAACGTACCATAACACCGCCAAGGCTAACGATGCTAACACTAACGATGTTAATAGTAACAATGCGAATGCTAATGCAAATACTAACAATTCCCCTCACCTGCGCGTTCCTTCGTCCGATAGGCCGCCGTCGGGGTCTTTCGGATTGGCGGGCCCCGTCCTCTCAGGAGGGGGCAATGGGGCTGAGGGGGGCGTCCTCAGGCCCGTCAGCCCGTTGGTCATTGGCTGAGGGGTGTAGGAGGGTGGGGTTTGCCTTAACCCTATATTTCCGAGGGAAGGAGTTAATGATTATTACACGGGAGATCAATAATACCAAGATGAAAGATGAAGACAAAGACATGAAGATGGCGGCCGTGTCTCTAACCTGGCGGGAAGCCGTCGGTGTCTGCCATCCGGCTGTAGGTCAGGTGATGGTTAGCGTTGGGGGGATACGGGGCCTCACTGGGAGTCTTTAGCTGTTGAAGATGTTGAGATATCAGACAAAAAGGCTGATTATAGATTACAGTTGAGGGGTAAAAGTGGTCACATGACTCCCGCACCGTCTCCGGGCTCTGCTTGGGACAACCGTCCGGGTTGTAGAGCATCGGGTATCCTCTCCTTAGCACCACGTCCACGCTCTGACCCATTGGCACCGCCTTCAGCATCTCCACCACCTCTTTATGTGAGCTACCCAGCACACTGCTCTCATTGATGTAAACCAGGATGTCGGCTGGAGGACCAGATACGAAATATACTCAGTCTGCTGCTTGGTCTCTGTGTATCCTCTGTATATCCAAAGGTCTCTGTGGTGTCTGAAAGGTCTCTGTGGTGTCTGAAAGGTCTCTGTCAGGTTTGAAGGTCTTTGTGGTATCTGAAGGTGTCTGTGGTGTCTGAAAAGGTCTCTGTCAGGTCTGAGGGTACCTGTATTCAGTGCTGGAGGTCCTCCAGGTGTGACACTGTACACCTGCAAAAACTCTTTGGGTCGACTCCCCCCCACGATGTTGAAGCCAAACCCTCTGGGCCCTTTAGCAAGCCGTGTGTGGATGGAGTAACCCTTCAGAAGGCCGGGCTGCTCCGTGAACTCTGGGACTGAGATGGACACTAGGTGAGTGAGCGGACAGGTGAGGACACTATGGCCAGGTGATTGAAAGGACGGGTGAGGACATTACAGGTCGGTGAGAGGACAGGTGATTAAGTGGACAGGTGAGGACACTACGGCCAGGTAAGCTAGTATAAAAGTATGTAATTCTTTTTCCAGTGTTTTGGAAAAACTAGTACTATTAATAGTGTAATTATTATATGAATTATTAATGTCACGTTTTGGGTTTGTTTCCCGTTTTATTTAGTAGTTTCCTGCCTCTTGTGCCCCTAGGTTAGCTTCACTTCCTGCCTTGCCCTGTCATCCCCTGTGATTTTCTGCCCTGTCCCTGATTGTTTCCACCTGTGTCCAATCACCTGCACCTTCCCAGTGTATTTAAGCCCTGTGTGTTTTTTGTCCCTGGTCTCTTAATATGGGAAAAAGTCCATTCAGTGATGTTGGTTTTAATGCTTCATATAAATAAACTAATTACAGATAAAACAAGTTGATCAATAGTCAATAGATCAATCAGACAATGCACTTACGTTCTGTGAAGGGAGTCGTCTCTTTGCTCTGAGTGCGAGGATCCAGCCAGCTGGTCGTCTTTGAGCGATGACTGGAAGAGTAATATCATGATCACCATCATTCCCACCATCATCATCACCATCAGGATCACCACTATCCCCACCATCATCATTAGCTGTGACTGCAGTGTGTGAATGTTACTGATGGGCAGGTGGCACTGTGTATGGTAGCTGCTGACATCAGAGTGAATGATGACATGAAGTATTCAAGTTGTTTGAGTGGTCGGAAGACAAGAAAAGCGCTACACAAGTCGACTATTTACAATTTATAATCATCACTAGCATCCCCATCACCACCACCATCATCATCATCTCCACCATCATCATGGAACCAACAGGAACACAATCCTGGGTGGGTGTCCAGTATTTTATTATTTTCCTTCCTGGTTAGGCTCTTCTTCAGTCTTTATCCAAACATTCTACAAACAGTTAGAATCAAACTTTGACAAACTATTGATGTTTTCAATTGATCAACCATCACCATGATCACTCACTTGATGTAATACGGCTCTCCTGATTCACTGAAGGCCAGCTCCCAGTTCTCGGGCAGCGGACCTGCTGCTGCTCCTCCAGTTCCCCCTCTTCCTCTACCTACTCCTCTCCCCCCTGCTCCGTTCTCCGCTCCCTCCCGGCTCCCCACTGCCGACTCCCACGATTGGCTGAGAGAGATGATGGTGGGCGGGACTCCGGCCAAACCTGCTGTGACAGACAGATGGAGGATCGGACCCAGTTATTGATCAAAACAGCCCGAGTCATTGATCTGATGGCTCTGGTTATTAGTCTGATCGGACCCGGTTATTTATCTAATGTGCTCTGACCTGATGGGCCACCGTCCTCCTCACTGTTGTCTCCTTCCTCCACAGCTTTCTCCAGGTTGCTCAGAGACTTGCTTCTGGTCCTGAAGTTCCTTAGCAGGTTCCTGTGCTCCTGGTACGTAATTGGTGGAGACTCCAGGCCAATGTGGACGGGGCGGGGCGTCCCGTAGTAGTTCCCTTTGAAGTATAAATATATATATATATATGTGTGTCTAGATAGTGACAGCTCTTTGGACGTCATATTGATAATTCCGAAATTAACTGCTCCTAGTAAATTAATTAACGAGGGAATAGTACACACCTGTCCATGGAACAACTGAGCAGCTGAGCAATTGTCCAATTACTTTTGGTCCCTTAAAAAGGGGTTGGCCCTTTAATTTGTTGTAATTCCTACACCGTTCACCTGATTTAGTAAATACCCTCAAAAGTAAAACTCAAAGTCTGCACCAAAAGCACATATTGATTGTTTCATTTCAAATCCATTGTGGTGGTGTACAGATTCCAAATGATTATCATCGGGACTTCATCACGTCAAACAGAAAAATCATGTGTTAATGGTGCAACTAGTGACCCTGACCTTTGAACTTTCCGCTCTCCAGCAGAGCGCCCGACTCTTCCAGAGAGAAGAACTCCTCGATGGACACAAAGTTGTAGTCCACGCCGGAAATCTCCCCGTCCCGAGGTTGCCGGGTCGTACCTGTGGGGAGGGGGAGCACAGTGATGTTGTCAGAGAGAGCGGCGGAGCTGTGGTTGGAAATGGACTCAAATATGGATGCAAATATTATTCTGAATGCAAATAAATGGAAATCATACGGATCATAACTCTAGTCCTGTCTGCTACACATACACACATACTCAAACACACATACAGCTACACACACAAACACACACTGTTTACACACCTGTAGTGCACTTCCTGTAGTCATTAACAGACTCCTTGTTTCATTTCAAAAGGCAGGTTGACCTTTGACCTCCAGGTCATGGATCATTTAAAGGAACATGGAGCAGTTTTATTTCATGTTTTCACTTCAAACAACATCACAATGGACCAGGGTACAAAAGAGGAGGTACTTGTAGTTGACATAATGTTTGTGTGTGTCTTACAGGGCACAGCTCGTAGGTACAGGTTCTCTCTGATGAGCTGCTGCAGCTGACTGTCCATGGAGCCCGGAGTGAAGCACTTACTGAGGTACAGCCTGAGGTCCTTACAGAGGGACGAGCCTGAGGGACAGAGGACACCATGTCATAGCCATGTTGTTACAGAGGGACAGAGGACACGATGTCATAGTGATGTTGTTACAGAGGGACGAGCTTGCGGGACAGAGGACATGATGTCATAGTGATGTTGTTGCAGAGGGACAAGCCTGAGGGACAGAGGACACAATGTCATAGCGATGTTGTTACAGAGGGACAAGCCTGAGGGACAGAGACAATGATGTCATAGTGATGTTGTTACAGAGGGACGAGCTTGTGGGACAGAGGACATGATGTCACAAAGGGATTGGTGCCTGAGGGACAGAGGACATGATGTCATAGTTATTTTGTTACAGAGGGCCGAGCCTGAGGGACATAGGACACAATGTCATAGGGATAACGTTACAGAGGGACGAGCTTGTGGGACAGAGGACATGATGTCACAGAGGGATTGGTGCCTGAGGGACAGAGGACATGATGTCATAGTTATTTTGTTACAGAGGGCCGAGCCTGAGGGACATAGGACACAATGTCATAGGGATAACGTTACAGAGGGCCGAGCCTGAGGGACATAGGACATGTCATAGTGATGAGACGAGCTTGTGATTCAGAGGACATGATGTTACAGAGGGACGAGCCTGTGGGACAGAGGACATGTCATAGTGATAACGTTACAGAGGGACAAACCTGTGGGAAAGAGGACATGATGTCATAGGGATGTCGTTACAAAGGGGTGCTCTCACCTGGTGACACGGTCTTGATTCTGATTGGATGAGGACAGGAGTTAAGGACTCCTCTGACATCACCAAGGGTCATTCCTAATACTGGTGTCCCCCCGATCTCCAAGATGATGTCGCCCACGTTGGCTCCGCCCCCGTGGGCCACTGTGACAAATGGAAACTCCCCGTAGTCGGCCCCGCCCCCGATGGCCAGCCCCAGCTCCCCGGAGCCACCGCCCAGCGGGACAAAGCTCTCCTGCACCTGAAGAGCACGAGGACGGGACAGGGGGGTGTTGGGACAGGGTGTGGGGGAGGGGGGTGTTGGGACCGGCTCTCTGAGGTCACACAGACTGAGACGTATGTAACACTAGTGATTACCTTGGAGCGCCAGTGCAGCTTCTTCACCGTGGCTTTAGACATGGCCGCCGAGCTGCAGAAGGAAACAGAGTTACTGAGCGTGCTCAGTAGGACGCCTGAGCCAGCTGCTGGCTTCAGTGCACACACCTAGCTACGTCACCTGTACCCACCTGCTGTCACCTTCAACGGCTGTAGAGACTCATAGGGAGCTTCTTTACCTCCTTGCTTCCTCACTATGAAGCCCTTTCTCTCCTGAATCAGCTCACATTCCATTTTAACTGGTTGTGTAGTAACAGTAACACGTAGCACGTAGCACGTAGCACACACATAGCGATGCGAGGCTTAATCAGCAGAGAGCAGTTTGGGATCAGTTCCTCCATCGAGTCTCATCTACACGTCTCGCACAACGGCAGATGGTGGCCGACCGCAGGGAGCCACACACAAGCGATACACACACACACTTTGTTAGACCGTGTACGTTAAATATGGATGAGCATATGTGGAGTGAGCAAGTCACAACAAACGTCCCAAAGCAGCAATCGCATATCTGATTTTAACGTGACTAAAGAAGCAAGAAGTAAAGAGTGTGTCTGTGTGTGTCGTACCTGTGTGTCTGTGTGTGTCGTACCTGTGTGTGTGTCTGTGTGTGTCGTACCTGTGTATGTGTCTGTGTGTGTCGTACCTGTGTATGTGTCTGTGTGTGTCGTACCTGTGTATGTGTCTGTGTGTGTCGTACCTGTGTATGTGTCTGTGTGTGTCGTACCTGTGTATGTGTCTGTGTGTGTCGTACCTGTGTTGCTGTGAGTTCAACTCTCATCTCTCAGTGTTTCAGCGGGTTTCTGCCTCACTTCCTGCCCCCCAACCCCCCCACTTTGATGGTCAGGTCAGAGTCCACTGTGTGATGTCAGCAGTGTGTTTAAGGAGTGTTTCTCTCACTGAATGTGTGTGACTATACAAACATGCGTGACCTTCAGCGGAGCCACTTATTTCCAGTATCAGTAATATGTATCCTTCACCTCGAGAGCACAATATCATTTTAGGCTGAGAGAAGAACATTTTATGGCCATTTTAAATTCAGATCAATTAAGCGGTGGACTTTTAGCTGAAAGTAATATTGGAATCTTAAGGCAGAGGAAATCAATCAATACAGTCAATAAAAGCACGGCAGCAAACACATTCATTAACTTGTATGCACTTTTTATTTATTTTCTTGCATATACGAGGAAATTTGAACGTAACCTTAAGATATTACAGAATATGTCAGAGGTCTTCAACAGGGGGTCCGCGGCCCCCAGGGGATCCACGGAGGTACTGCAGGGGGTTCGCAAAAACTTTGGTTGATAAAACAATTAATGATATAAAGAAAGTAACATGAGCTGCTCGTTGTGTATTTGTGATAAATGTGTGTTGGCAATTTTATAAACGATGATATGATGTTACACATATTATAACAATTCTATCAGTAGACATTCAAGTTAATTCAACTACTGATATTAAAAGTGAACTGTCAGCACACCTGTCTCGGTACTGAATGAAATACATTCTGATCGTGCAGGGCCACATAGGATAGATCAGATGTGTCTTCCACCTGGATCACCACCTGGAGGAGCCAGTCGCAGCCGAAGTGACGCATGCTGTCAATGAATGCGTCCCCGTAGGATGCAGCCGACGAATTGAGACATAGCAACAGTCTAACTGGGTAAACTGCGAGGGAAAGACTGAAACATGGTGAGAAGGGGAAGTGAGGTCATAGGTAATCTTCTACAAAGAAGGGGCCCGAGCAGTCAGCATCAGACAGACGTTCACCTCCACTGGACTGGGAGTTGTAGTCTTTCCCATAAGAGACATGAACCCTGGTGAGTTTATGACTTCACAGTTCAACCAATTAGATGGGCTGTCTGACCTGACCCAGTCCACAAAGGTCCCAGGCCATCAAGGTCCCAGTTCATGCAGGTCACTTCCTGTTCACCGTTTGTAATAAAAGCAACATGGCGATGAACAAGATGCTGAACACAGGGCTTCTAAACGTCATGACAACTACTCCGCCTCTTCAGACCGGTCACCACATTCTGACCCACAATTTTTAGTATGGAAAAAGATTTGATCAATTGAAAAAGTGAAAAAAATTGAAAATGAAAGTTTAGGTTTAAACTTAAAGGTTTTTAGGTAGTTTCGGGTCATACATGATTTGGATTCAGTTCTGGAATTCTTTTGTTGTTATTTTTCAGTGGCAGATTTAAATCTTATTTTTTCAAATTTCAAATTGCCCTGATCTGACTAAGAGGGCGGGCATCAACTGAGAGAGGCGTGTCACCATGAGTGGCAGCCAAATGTGGTAACAGGCACCACAGAAAGTAAGTGTAAGATTTATGCTTTAGAAGAAAAACCAGCTTTTAATCGCGATTAATAGTGATTATTGAATTTTCAAATGTGAGATTAATTAGTCCATGTTTTAATTTAACGGGCCTAATATTTAAGCATTTTCTCTGGGGCTATTTTGGGCTGGGCTATTTTCAAAACAGGCAAGCACAGACCCATCTGGTACGTCCGCTTAATGTTGGAAAATACCCAAAGCCAGAGGGTTTAAGTTTTAGCTGTTCTAAATATCCACAAAAGACGGCGATAAATGTTCAAATATGAGGATAACAGCACAAACTTTCAGACAGACACACAAATGTGTGAAGAACAATAAAAATAGATCTTGAGAGAAAATTTCAAACCAATTACAAGCCGATCTGGCTTTTCAGGTCTCAGGAGGTCTCAGGAGGTCCCGTCTCTGTACCCACAATTAGATCCAGGTCTGGAGAGGGTGCCTTCAATTAAGTGTCGGATGACTCAAGGTCCATTACATACATCCAAATTCAAAAAGCAAGCCCCCAACTTATCTTTTTTCACATGCTTGTGGTTAATTACTGTATTATATTTGGAGTTTATATGCTAATAATCACATGATTGGGTGGAGCAGACGCCATCGCATGGATGCTACGCTTGTGTTCACAGATGTATGTGCAAACCTCAGAGACTGTGTGGTTGTTGAACAGCACAATCTGGCATAGATTATTTCTCTTATTCTGCCATGAATATGAAGTGGGGTCCAAAAGCAGAACTACGTGACCACGCAAATCACGTGAGTAAGAAAGTGCTCATTCATAATTATCACAAGGCAAAGCAGTCGAGGGAGGTTTTTAGCCTTTTTTGCCACTCGTGATGCCACCCTACTAAGTCAGATCAGGGCCAAAAGTCTGAAAAAATAAAATCTGCAACTGAAAAATACAAGACCTCAAATATATATGTGAAAGATGTAAAAGTAAGAGTAAACATTTTATTCAAAACTGAAACAAAATAATATTCCACCCAAAAATACATTTCATTCACTTATTTTTATTTTGATTAAATTTTTTTATTTTAAGTTCAAGACCAAAATAAACTTTCAGATTCCATTCTTTTTAAAATGATCCAAAATTTCGGGCCTGGATTTGGCTGCCTGTTAAAGCGTGCTTCCGTTAGCGGTGAAAATTCTCCGTCTCCTAGAAGCAGGTGTAAACCACAACGTGGGTTTCCTCACATGTCTCTCCTGAGGAAATGACAGCAGTAATCGTGGGACAAGGAGACGAGGTGAAAGGATTTTAACACAAGCGTCACACTTTCTCCGCTGAGTGAACACGTATACATCACACGTTACAGATGAAGCAGCAGCTTGTGGAAGAAATCAAATATGACGTTGCATCTCCTACTCAGCGTCCACATTCCATTCCAGCAGGTGTTAAACTCCTCACTACATTACAGTTATTGGATCAGGATCATTTCAAACAGTAATCGCATCAGCAGTGGGAACATGTCAGTCTGCACTCAGCCGCATCACAGCACCAGTACACAACGCTTTGCTGCAGCGCACTACACATTTCCACCACTGATGCCCAAATAACACACCGGCTTCAGTGTCACTGGATTTTAGTTTTTGCTGTTTTGACTTTGGCTGATCCGTGATAGAAAGAGAGGAGGAGGCCGCTCAAGTACGCGTTTAAATGCTTGCAATGCGCGGCTTAGTGGGCGGAGAAAGGCGCTGATCACCTGATGAGCTGCAGGTTTGTAAATACGACGTAAACTGAAGTATCACAGCGAGCGTTGACGCAACGTTTGCAAATGCACGTACATGAGGGCCTGAGTGTCTCTGACAGCAGCTGTTGGTCTGAATCTGTTTCAACCTTTGATGACATCAGAGCTGATGATGATGTCATCGGACTTCCGCGATTCTAATCTACAATAGTAATAACAACATGAATAACAATACTAATAACAGTATGAACAACTGTTAATGTCTGATCAATACACCTGATCCACACCCACGACACGACGAGTCTCAAAGGATGAACTTCACCTAAAAGGAGACTCATTGATCTGGTTGATTCATTTTGGATCAATAAATAAACAAAAGGTTCCGCTTTTTATTGCGTGATGGTGCTTCCGACAAAGTGGTGTCGCCTGAGACTCTAAACCATCTCAGATGTTCTACCACGTAGTGATGTCATCATCGACGAATTCTACTTTCGCTGCACCACAACTCAACTCATGCTGTCACTAGCTGCTCCTCCTCCTCTCTGTAGATACACAGCACCTCCTCCTCTGTGTAGATACACAGCACCTCCTCCTCTCTACAGCACCTCCTCCTCTCTGTAGATACACAGCACCCTGCTCCTCTCTGTAGATATAAAGCACCCTCCTCCCTCTCTGTAGATACACAGCACCTGCTCCTCTCTGTAGATATAAAGCACCTCCTCCTCTCTGTAGATACACAGCACCTCCTCCTCTCTCTAGATATAAAGCACCTCCTCCTCTCTGTAGATACACAGCACCTCCTCCTCTCTCTAGATATAAAGCACCTCCTCCTCTCTGTAGATACACAGCACCTCCTCCTCTCTGTAGATGCACAGCACCTCCTCCTCTCTGTAGATGCACAGCGCCTCCTCCTCTCTGTAGTATAACAGAGCGCCTCCTCCTCTATGTAGATGCACGAGCGCCTCCTCCTCTCTACAGCACCTCCTCATCTCTGTAGATACACAGCACCTCCTCCTCTCTGTAGATGCACAGCACCTCCGCCTCTCTGTAGATACACAGCACCTCCTCCTCTGTGTAGATACACAGCACCTCCTCCTCTCTACAGCACCTCCTCCTCTCTGTAGATACACAGCACCTGCTCCTCTCTGTAGATATAAAGCACCTCCTCCTCTCTGTAGATACACAGCACCTCCTCATCTCTACAGACCTCCGCCTCTCCGTAGATACACAGCACCTCCGCCTCTCTGTAGATATAAAGCACCTCCCTCCTCTCTGTAGATATAAAGCACCTCCTCCTCTCTGTAGATGCACAGCACCTCCTCCTCTCTGTAGATGCACAGCACCTCCTCCCTTGTGTAGATGCACAGCACCTCCTCCTCTCTGTAGATGCACAGCACCTCCTCCTCTCTGTAGATGCACAGCACCTCCTTCCCTGTGTAGATGCACAGCACCTCCTCCTCTCTGTAGATGCACAGCACCTCCTTCCTTGTGTAGATGCACAGCACCTCCTCCTCTGTGTAGATGCTATCCGGTCATAGCGGACAAAGAGCGGCTCCTCTAGCGCAGATGAGCATGTCAACACGCGCGCACATACACGCGGTGTCCCCTCGTGCACAGAGCAGCTGGTAGTTTACAGTTGAGATTTTACGGTGACGGATGAGAGCTTTAGGTCCACGCGCAGAAGCGAACACGCGCACGCGCATAGCGGGATGTGGTTGGAGGAGGTGGCAGCGGGCTGTGCGGAACCGTTTGGACCGAACAAGCCGCCGGTGTGCCCTTACCTCCATTGTTCCTGCCGTTGCTCCTCTGGGTTCCTTCCGCGCGCCGTGTCCTCTCCGAGGTTTCAGCGGATCGATCCCGCGGTGCTGCTGCGTTCATGCGTACATGTGCAGGCGTGTGCGACTAGCTGAGCGCGTTCACGCGTGACAGTGCGTAATGTCCACTGCAGGTAAAAATGCAAAGTGCTTTGAGGTTGAAGATCAGACACACAGCAGCGCAGTACGGTGCGTGTACAGTGCGTGTGCGCGTCCGTAGCCTGCAGGTAGCTGGAGACTTACTACAGAGAGAAGGCGGAGGTCTCTCTCTCTCTCCCTCTCTCTCTCTCTCTCTCTCTCTCTCTCTCTCTCACTCAATGAGGGAGAGAGAGAGAGAATCGAAAGAAGAGTGTGTCAGTGCGCTTGCGCGCATGTCCAAGAAGGTAGGAAGTGAGTGAGAGAGCTCCTCCTCCAGGGGGAGAAGTTGGTGTGATGAGGGGCATTCAGGGGCTGGATTCGAATTATCAAATGCATAGATATTAATATATAAAGGCTAGATAGATAAAGGCTAGATATATGTGTATATATATATACCTGATCCACACCCACTACACGAAGAATATATATACAGTATATGGTCCTGGGTTCCACTCCGCCCACTGGCCTTTCTGTGTGGAGTCTGCATGTTCTCCCCGTGTCTGCGTGGGTTCTCTCCGGGTTCTCTGGCTTCCTCCCACAGTCCAGAGACCTGCTCTGGGGATCAGGTTGATGGTGACTCTAAATTGCCTGTAGGTGTGTGAATGTGAGTGTGAGTGGTTGTTTGTCTCTGTGTAGCCCTGTGATTGGCTGGCGACCAGTCCAGGGTGAACCCGTCTCTCGGAGTTGCCTGTGATAGACTCCATTCCCCCTGCGACCCTGTGTGCAGGATAAGCGGTTTGACGATGGATGGATGGATAGATATATCTACGCCTTTATATAATATTATTACGCCTTTATATGAATACATTTATATAATAACATAATTATTCATAAGTAGAAATATATATGTATAAAAAAAATGTATACATATATATGTGGTGCAAAGATCCGCCCTGTAAAACCTAACAAACAGTTGTTTGTACTCAAACCACAAACATATTTTATTATATTATTTTTTTATTATATATATAATATAAAAGTATACATATATCTCATGTTGCCATTCTGTATATATCAGAGTAGTCCTTGTACAGTTGATGCTCAACCATTAATTATCATTAAGTTTAAAATGTACCAGAGCCTCTTCTGTGTCTCTACATTCATAGTGATTAACCTATATAGTGATCTATGAGGCTACATACTGTAAGATAAGTGACATCATTAGTGATTAACGTCATACTATTTAATATCTAAGATACAGTGATCGTTGAGGCTACAGTTAGATATGTGACATCATTAGTGCTTAACATAGTATTTTAAATCTATGATACAGGGATAATTAGGGCTAAAGTTAAATGGGGGAACTTACATTTTGACGCAATTATCTAAATAGAAACAGTTTCAAGAATATGCAAGCAGCTGACCAGACATGAAATATCTTACAGATAAATATACAATAATTCATATATGAAAGATATTTATTATTATTACATTTCAGAGCTTCAAAGTTCCTTTGAAGATAAAGTCCTATTGCCTATTGAGTCTCCTCATGTCCTTTAATTCAAACATCGTTAGTTTTATGTGCACAGATATTTTATCAGTCGATTTATTTATTTATTACACTGTAAAAAAAAAAGTATGTCGATTTAACGGTAATAAACTGTTAAATTCCAATGGTAAAAGACCGTTGATTAAAAATAGGTCATCTTCTGTTTCTATCACATTGAAATACTGTATATGTATATATCAGCGCAAACCGTAATTTATGCATCTATCACTGTTAATTGTACTAACAGTGTACCGATAACGGAAATATACCGTATTATGAAAAACAGTCTGTATCATAATTTTTACATTCATAACTTTAAAAAAATACAATCTGTCCCTGTTAAATGTACGGACTACTGTGCTGACAACCGAAATATAACGTATTTTAAATGTAACAGCCAGCCCTGTTATTTTTGCATTTATTATTTGTAAAGGATACAGTTGGTCACTGTTAATTGCACTAAAAATTGTACTGGTGACGGTAATACACCGTAATATGAACAACACTCAATACCGTAGTTTTTGCATGTATTACTATTTTAAAATACATTTTGTTACTGTTAAATGTACGGACTATTTTGCGTCAAATGGAAATATAACGTATTATGGCGTTCACAGCAAGTCCTGTATTTTTTGCATATATTATTTGTACAAAATACAGTTTATAACTGTTAATTGCAATGAAGATTATACTGATAATGGAAATACATCGTAATATGAACAACAATCCATACTGTAGTTTTTAGATGTATTACTCCTTAAAAATAAATTGCGTTACTGTAAATTATACGGAATATTTAGCTGCAAATGGAAATATAACCTATATACCTGTATTCTTTGCATTTATTATTTGTGCAAAATACAGTTTATAACTGTTAATTGCACAAAAGATTGTACTGAATACATATAACAGGAAACACTGCAATTTTTGCAAAGATTATCTGTAAAAAACACATTTAGTCCAGGTTACATTTACCACTGTGCTGAAATACTGTAATATAAATACAACAGTCACCAACCGAAATATACCGTGGGGAAGTTAACATGGGTAACATGGGTATATTAACCATTCAGATTTTAGTTAACATGGGTAACATGGGTATATTAACCATTCAGATTTGAGTTAACATGGGTAACATGGGTATATTAACCATTCAGATTTTTGGTGGATAGGCTGGGACAGAGAGACAGAGAAAAGGAGACAGTTTGAGAGATACAGAGACAGAGAGACAGATTTAGAGAGAGAGACAGACGGAGAAAGGGAGACAGATTGAGGGATATAGAAAGAGACAGAAGGAAAGAGAGACACAACAGGAGGGCAGAAGTGTGGCAGTGTTAAAAAAAAACCACAACGTTCGGAGATTGAACTTTTCAACTCCACTTCAGCGCCATTTCTACGCACTCTGCATTGATGGAACAACAGCCTGACTGACTCCGGGCTACATTTCTTCTTGAGGTAACTTGCCTACATAATCATCTAAGCTATATTTTAATTTGATGCTTTGTTTTCTACAATTTTGCATCACCGTTGCAAAAACGTTGATGTAACGTAACGTTAGGTTATGGGTTATTGCACTGAACGTTAGCTAGCTAGCTAACATTAGTTTATCAAACGTTGGCTAAGGAAGCGTTTCAATGCACTTACTGTGGCAGGTCGGTTAAAACACAGAGGGCTTATGTGCTTCATTGCAAACTTCATAGATATGAACCACGTTGTTTGTTTAAGCGCGTAGACGCTGGTTGCAAAAAGACCTCTGTTCAATATGGAGCATTTAAGGCTCATTTCTACCGGACACATATCGTTAACTTACCAGCTTCTGTTAACGTTACTGTCGGGACAGCTCTCAAATGCGGTGTGGCGTTATGTCAAAATACAAAACAGCTAATAGCTCATTTGAAGGGGCATCTCTTGGAAGGACGCGCTGTGAGTTGTACAGTGAGTGGATGTAAAAACGTTTTCATAGTCAAATCCTCATTCACCGCTCACATGTCACACAAAATGTATACAAAAATGTATTAATTAGATGTGCAGTTATCCTGGTTGTTAAAAAATGAACCACATGAAACGTGAAGATAAGTCTTGAGTCTTGAGAGTGAATGTCATGCTGTCAGTTGTTGTGTTCAAAAATGAAGAAACGCCGGACGGACAGAGGTCATCGCTGATCAAAAGGTTAAAATCAAATGTATTTAATAAAGGAGATGGCGTTGTGGTAAAAAGAACATCTCAGCTGAGGAGCCGCTGGTCTCAGCCACCAACAGGCCCCAGGTCAGTCCTTTGACCATCCCTAGTGCCCGTCTGTCGCCTCCACCAGTGAACTCCAGAACAATGGTTCCTACAGGTATTTATAACAATGCTTAAAGGTGTGAAAGTCAGTGTCCACACCTCTGGGAGTCTTCTGTGAGTTCAATGTAACTCGGATTTCGAATGATCCTTAGTCAATATCAGTTGTTGTTTAAGTATTACATGCATGCATTCCAGTTGATCACATTACATCAAATACAATCATAACTACATTGGTATTATTCTATTACAGTTGCAGAATTACAGTGGTTTTACAATATTGTCATTACTTTATTGATTACAGTTTCAGAATCATGGCTGTATTCTGGTGTACACTATATGCATTTTTATTAATTTTATGAACCGGGTCGTATATTTGTTTCTAATATCCTACACAGTCCAGCAGCTCCCCCTGTGTTTGTTTGCTTTCCCCGTCTCTGTAAGGAGCTGTGGTCTCCCCCTGTTCATCCCCGAAGGGTGTGGCTGGAACAGCTGACGGCAATCAGCCCTCAGGGGACTCTCCTACATCAACCGGGGTCTTCCTGCCATTCAGCGCCAGATCCTTCTGTCGTCAGAGTGGTAACTACGTATTCATGCCATTTGGCTATTAGACGCTGTCTTTGTTCACCGTGTCCTATTTTTTGCCTTGTTGATGCCTTTGTGCTAAAATGGGTCCTCTTTTAACATTCAACCTGAGTCTTATTAATTTTGATTTGAACTATAAAGTGGAATTATATTCAGAGTGTTGGTTTCTTCTAGGTCATTGAAGCTCAGTTAAACACAAGAAGGCAGTGAATGTGTCTCTGCTCAAGCAGTACATCAATCTAACTTTGCCTTTGTTTCTGTTTTTGGGCTACAGAGAGGATCATCCCAATCCGCAGTGAAGGATACAAGTCCTCAAGCAGAAGGTCCCGAACCGCTCCGCTTCCTGGATCTTGATTTACAAGCTTTACAAGCTTCCTTTAATATTTCCTGATGTTGACTGTAATATACGCCAACCAATTGTAATACATTATACACAATGATAGTCAATGAAAGAAATCGATCAAAATTAGAAGCCCGGTTGGGGTTATTTTGCACAAATTCAGCCAAACTTCTCTTGCTCTGGTAGATTTATTTGTCAGATCACAGGTCACAGGTCAAGTATCATCACTCCCTAAATGAGCACTAGGAAAGGGCTTTTTATTATTGTAATAGATCGGTGGGTTGTAATAAGCAACGAAAACAATTATCAACAATAACAAGCTGCACACTGTGGATACAGACAAGATGTTAAAGTTCAATTAAAACAAGTTATGAATGTAAACTCTGACCTCAAACAGACGTAACGTTACCGATGAACAACATCAGTCCGTGACAACATATTCAAAGTTTCGAGCCTAGTTATAGAACACAGAAATGTTGATTAAACAAACAAACTTCTCGCCTGAAATATTCCTAAAATGACATTACGTGACTTAAATATGTTAGTATTTATAAACCTCGAACCTACTGTTTATTTTCCTCCGTCATTGTTGCCTTTTGCTGAGGTGAAATGCATTCTGCTCTGATGCATGCTGGGTAAAATTGGCGGGGCGAGTCACATCTGTATTATGACCGTTCTCGACGAGATGCAGACTTCAGAATTGGAACAGTACTCGGCTGCGACTGATGACGTTTCACGAGTCCACGAAAACAAAAGTCCACACAAGAACGCTTATTGAGAAAGGGCCCCAGTCAGTGTGTATATGTATATATTAGGGCTGCACGGTATGGCCAAAAATCCATATCACGTTATTAAGAAAGTTTCTGACGGTATTCCGGTATGTGATGCTATTGCTTTTTTAAGTAAATACATGAATTCATTGACCCCAAAAATGACCTCGGCTATCTGAACAGCTGTTCGCTGCTTGCTGGCCAACTCGCTCGCAACTGGCCGGCGAGTTGGCTTGTTAGCTTGTTAGCGTGTTAGCTCGTTGTGGCTGCTAGCGTTGCCACCAGAGCAGCGACGTGCGGTGATGTCAGTAGGAGGCACTGAGTTATGAAAGATCGATTATTGTTTAGGCTAACATGTCAGAACAGTGAACGTTACGCACAAGCACGGCGCACACAAACGCACACACACTGTCGATAACAAGAATTTTCCAATCAGGGTTACATATCACTACTACTACTGCGCCCACGCGCGCACACAGTAGTTATTACTAAATTAGCTTTCAGGCCTCTCAGACATTATTGCTTAATTATTGCACGCTGCTGAATATGAAGGCAAATGGCTTGTTGTCGGCAACCACACTTTCAATTCAATATTAAGCCCGAAATAGTTTCTGACTTACTAATCGTTATTTGTACATAAAATCCACCCGCCGCCTTTTTCTTGTGAAGACATCGATCACAGCTTTGTAAAGCTCGTCTCAGATGATATCGGCAAACACCGCTGCCGTCATTTTGAATTTCGCGGGGATTACTTTTACAACGTAGCTGCTGTAGTGACGTCAGCTGCGTAAATGTCCAGTAACTTCTCGTTTTTTATTGGTCCATGTTTGATACGTAACGTTTATGACTACTGGCATAACTTATTTACATGCAAATGGCCAGTCTTTTTCGTCGCACATGTTGAAGAATACACAAATACATGTATATATATACACACACACACACACACGAGGGCTGTCAAAATGAACACGTAAATTTCTACGATTATTGTGGCCGAGATGAATGTTATAAACTGGACTTTGAAACCTCTAACCTCTCCTCCTCCTCCCTCCTCTCTCCTCCTCCTCCTCTCTCCTCCTCTTCTTCTCCAGCAGGGGACAGAAGAGCTCTGTTTACAGTCTGAGAGAGAGTGATGACATCGTCCAGAGAGGATTATGGGAGATTTATATAAAACATACACAAAGACAGAAAGATGATGAATGTTTTTATAGGATAATTCAGCCGGTTGTGTTATGTATATATACATATATATGTATATATATATGTATATATGTAAAGATAAAATATTAATTGCTGAATAAAAGTCAGTGATTATTATAACTAACTCTATGTGTGTTTATAGCTATGTGTATATGTATATATAAAATATATATACAAGACGTATATATATGTAGCAGGTCTTAGTTCCGTAGATCGTAGTTCCGTCTAGACCATGTTCCTGCCTCCTACCGTGGTCCTGCTGACACCTGCTGCTGCTATCATCTTTATTATTATTTTAAATATCAATCATATTACTATTACTGTCATCGTAAACCAACATTACCCTCTCCTAAAGCCTTTGTGCTTTCCCTGCCAAGAGGCTTCTGTGGATGGTGGTTCTTTGTGATGGTGGTTCTATCTCATGGTGGTTTTATTTGGTGGTGGTTCTATGTAATGGTGGTTCTATCTGATGGTGGTTCTATTTGGTGGTGGTTCTATGTAATGGTGGTTCTATCTGATGGTGGTTCTATTTGGTGGTGGTTCTATGTAATGGTGGTTCTATCTGATGGTGGTTCTATTTGGTGGTGGTTCTATGTAATGGTGGTTCTATCTGATGGTGGTTCTATTTGGTGGTGGTTCTATGTAATGGTGGTTCTATTTGGTGGTGGTTCTATGACATGCTGGTTCTATCTGATGGTGGTTGTCCCTGCAGTCGTCCGGCCGTGTACCTGCTTACTACTCTCAATTATTTGAATCATCTCTGTTATAGGAATTTAATGTATTGTACATCTTTTACATTGTTCATTCTGTACACATGACATCATTGTAGTCTGTCCATCCCGGGAGACGGAACCTCCCTAAGGTTTTTTCTCTTTTTTCCCCATGGAAGGATTTTTCATGTTTTGGGGAGTTTTTCCTGTGTCCATGTGAGGGTTTCAGGACAGTATGAATGTATTATTATTATTATTATTATTAATTCATAATGATATTACAGTAAAAACATTTTATATATAATTACATAATATAAAAGCTCTAATAATCACTGAATTTTATTTGGAAAGAGATATTTTATTTTGACAGAAACAACAAACAACGAAGAGAAAAGAGAAAAAGAGATAAATCCTCAGAGTCCAAAGGATTATAAAGGATTAATAGAGGCTTAGAGACACACACAGACACACTATACACAACACACACCCACACAAAAACCCACAACACGTGAACAACGCGTACATACAAATATGAAAACATAACACACACAAGTGAACACAT